GTGAACGCGAAAGGGCAGGACTGAAAGACAGAAGGCTTCGCTCCTGGGTGGGGGGCCAGGAGGGGTCCTCACACAGACACGAGAGGCAGGACAAAGGCAGAAAGAGTCCAGAGACTCTTCTTGAGGGAGGAAGGTCTGCAGCAAGGTCCTGAGATGCAGAACAAGCTGGTCCAGCAGGGAGGATGCCTGGAGCCCCCTCTCGCCCCCGGCCAGAGCAGGGGAAAGGGGTGAGGGGAGAGGTCAACACCGTGGATGGCTGTCAAGTCCTCTCTTTCCTTCTGAAGGGAGGTGCAGGGCAGAGGAAGATGGGGTGGGGAGAGGCTCCCCACTCCACTTGAGAACTTGATGCATGAGAGGATAAAATAAGGCCAGGATCACGGTGCAAAAGCCACGAGAAAACCTAGAAGGCTCCCCAATACCCTCCAGGAACAAAGTCTCAGCATCGTGACTGATGATGGGGAGACAAGCAGCCAGGCTTTCCATTCTGACGCCCGGGCTGGCGGCCACATATGCCAGAGGCTGGCGGGCAGATCTGCAGGGGCCCCAGGCCAGCCTCCCGCCTGATCTGAAGCCACTGCCCTCTGCTTCTCCACTCTGGTGACTGACCCCCTCCTGCACCTGCTAGGTCACCCCGGCCCAAAAGCGTCCTAAGCACAGGGCTGGCACCGGGGCTATAGCTTGGGAAAGGTTGCCAACCTCCAGAAGGTTCTTGCCAACTAAGCACAGACCCCGGCTTTTCCCTGTCCCTCCTTTTAGTTCCGGCACACGCCAGGCTAACTCTCTCCACTGAGCCCTTGCCCCAAAGGACTATCCTCCAAGTAAGGACTCCTCTCCCTGCCCCTGCCCCGCACCTGCCCTGGCCATTCTGGGTCCTCCCCAGTGCCCAGTCTGTAAGCTTACTTTCCAGGCAGCCCGACCAGCACCAAATCTGACTCTGACCACGGTTTATACCATGTGGTAATCCACAGTCACTGATGCGGACCCAGTCCCCCGAACAGCTTCTCGAGGTTGGCATTATTAGCCTCACTACGCAGAGGGGCTGGCTCACTTGACAAAGTCACACAGCTAGAAGCTATGAGGCCAGGGCTGAAACCCAGGTCTCCAGACTCCATTATTTGTCAGCTGTTACTACTCCCAACCCTGCTAGAAAAATCAACTTACTTCCTGGGGATCGTGGCTCAAAAGCCTCAAGTGTCTCTTCTCACTCAATTGTCAACCTCTTTAAATGCTGAGGGACATGTGCACCTTTCCTCTGGGGCTGCCATGAGGCTCTGCATGGGGGGTGCAAAGGAACAGTGTGAACTCCACAGTTGGACCAGCCAGCTCCCCTTCTCCCTGGCCAACCTTTCTGCAGAGGGGGAGGGCCCCGGCCCTGGAAGAAGAGGGCTCTGCCTCACCCCTGTCCCAGGCCCTGGGTCTTACCTCGGAGGAAATACTTAAAGGTCTCCTTCATCATTTCCTTGCGGATCTCAGGGTGGGTGATGGTGTTGAGCAGATGCCGCCGGTCAGGCTGGTTAAAGATCAGGTCCCCAAGGACCTTGCGATTGATGTCACCGTTCTCCAGCAAGACCTCAGTGCCAAAGGCCTCCACGATGCGCCGGTGGGCGGGGTATCCAGGCTGGACGACTGTGGCATGAGGACGGGCCTGGGTCACTCTCTAGAGCCTCCAAGCCAGGTGGAGGCCCCCAAATGACTAAAGCAAAATGATGGGGGAACCCACGGGTGCCTCTTTCAGTTGGAGCAAAAACCAAATGACAGGAGGGAAGGCAGTTGAAAAAAAGAGCAGAGCGCTTGGAACCCCTTGAGTGGGTCACAGGGCGAAGTGAAGGACAGGGATGAGAAAGGGGGGGCAGGGAGCAAGAAATCGGACCAGGGTAGACAGGAAAGCCTTCCCCTCCTCCAAGGCCTTGAAAGGACTTAGAAAAAGGTGAGACACGATGGCAGAAAGGGGTACAGGGGAGCTGTCGTGCAGTCCCACCACCTGCCCCTCCCAACTTACCATGGCGGGCAATGACGTCAACATCAATCACCGCACAGCCCAGCTGCTGGAACACCTGGATCACCGAGCTCTTGCCCGAGGCAATGCCCCCTGTGAGGCCCACCAGGAACATCTTCCCAGGAGAGAGGAGGCCAGTAAGAATGCTGAACCAGGAGCCGGGGAATCACTGGAGTAGGGCACGCGTGGCTGGCTGGGATGGCCTGCCCCAGGAATTCCAGAAGGACCTGCCTGGGATGACAGCAGGCCTGATGAGTGTTGGGCCTGAAGACCCAGGATCGGGGGCGGGGGGGGGGGGGGGAGGCGAAGGAATGGAAGGGAGATGCAGCCTGCGCAGGCAGAGAGGAGTTCTGAGCTTGGGGAACTCTGGATCCATCCTAAGATAGAAAACTCTTTCCGGACGGGTCTCCAGTAGTCTTTAGAAAACTTTCATAAACAAGGCAAACCAACACAGTATAAATTTAGCAATCAAACTGCTGAGTAAGCAGAACAAGGTCAGGTGCTGTTAAGCAGAGCGCTTTCTGGAAGAACAGTACCCCACTGCAGGCAAATTTCACATAGGAAGGGGACACCTGGTGTGGTGAATCCAAGGCACTTTTCAGATGCCCACAGAGCCCCCCTCTGGCCTTCACTTTATAGTCTGGGGACACTGAGGCTCACGGGGAAGAATGTCTTGCCTGCCCACCGCCCCTAGCACCAGCACTGTCTGGGTGGCTCGTCTAGACTGGGAAGAATCCTCCCTCCTCAACCAGAAGAGGCCCAGATGGAGAGCCCAGAGGAAGCGGCGGCTCGGGGGCCAGGAGGCCTGAGGTTTAGAGGAGTGTGGATCTTGCCCGGGAGGAATGTGAGGGAAGGAGGACAGGCTGCGGGAAGGAACGCTGAGCCGGCGCAGGGGTGTGCGGCTCACTCAGACTGAGGAGCAGGGGCCTCTGCAGACCCCGTTTCTCCATGCACGATGCTGTGTGACCCTGGACAAGTCACCTGTCCCTCGGGACCTCAGTGTTCTCATCCATAAAATGGGGCTGACGGAACCTATCTCCTAAGGCTGTTTGCAGACCGAATGAGAAAATGCATCAGAAGCCCTCAGGATACTGCCTTTTCCACGGGGAGTGTCCAGGAGGGGAAGTGAGGACGGAGATGTGGGATGGAAGGCGGGCGCCGAAGTCACACTGCCAGGCCTGGAGACTAAAACAGACGTTTGTGAAGTAGGGTCCCCATTCTTACAGCCTTCGACTATCTCACAAAAGACTTGTTTAAAGTCATGTTGCATTTTCTGGAGTAAACAGGGTTACCGTGTCTCGGACTTTGCTCCCAGGCTGGAAGAAATTACACTGAAGGCCAGTTCTCTCCCATCCCTCCCTCAGCATCAAATCACTTCTCTAGGACCTTGAAATCTGTCATGGGACTTCTTTTTTTTTTTTGTAAAATGGCAGATTTACTGTCCTAATTACACTTTGCTTGAGCTTATACTGAAATGAGTTTGCCTCCCCTGAGGACACACCAAGTGACAGGGGGAGGCAGCTGCTCGGATGTGGGTGGTGGGGGTGACCAACCCAGAAGTTTAAATCTGCCCAGGCTCGTTCTCCCAGGGCAGGCAGGGGAGGAGAGAGGAGAATACCCACCAGAGTCGTCACCCAAATGGGAAGACCTAACTCAATTATTAAACCATTTGCAAAGCATTTCTCCTCAACCTCTGTGAGCCTGGAGTCGCCCCCAGGTGGTCTCCCTCCAGTTGACACAGAGAGCACTTAAGGATAAGGTTCAGTTGTCAAAAAAAATTTTTTTGTTCACTCAGCTGAAGCTTTGAAATGGAAAATCCAGCAACAGCATTGTAATCCCAGCTCTGTCCCGTTGTCCCCTGAGCCGTGAGCTTGCCTCTCCTCTGCAGAAGACCAATCTGGAAGAATGGGAGTGGAACCTGAGAAGAGGCGGTGGTGGACGGAAGGGGCAACGGCCAATTCTCCCCCGGGCCCTGGCCCCTCACTGTTGAAAATAAGCCACCATCACCTGGGCACCCAAGTTTGCCAGACTTGGCTGAAGGGGCCCAGCAGAGCATGTGACCTCAACTCCTGCCCGTTCACAGGACCAGGACCCCTCCCGGGACACACTACATCAGAATTTCTAGCGATGGCGCAGCTCTGCTGAGTCACAGGCTTGGAATCGACTTTAACTCTTCATTGACAGTGAGGAGATTAAGGACCAGAGAGGAAGGGACTTACCCACGGCCACAGCTCTTAGTGGAGCCTGACATGAATTCAGGGCTCCCACCTCTGAGTCTAGACTCCTGCCTTAACATACTCAGGAAATGAAAAATTAATTTATCCTTAGACTAAGAGATAATAAGGACGGTGAATATCGCTATAGGCAAATCAATTCAGAGCCAAAGAAAAATGATTTCTAGACGATCATATTGTTGTTTGCCCTCTGCAGAACAGGGGGTGAGGTCTTATGGACAGCAACCAGAGCACAGATGTCAATTCCAGGCTCAGCTCTGTCCCAGACTCTTGGGGTAACTTAATGAATGTCTACCCTTCTCTGTGCTTCGGTCGACCATCTGTGGAAACAGACCAACAGCTGCTTGGCCTCTGTCAGGGAGGCCGAGGGGATGGAGAAGCACATGCCCTGGGAGGCCGTGGGGGGCCCCTGGCTGAAAGGGGCTGGACAAATAACAGCTGTTCCCGTCCAACAAGCCGTCCATAACTCATTCCTCCGCTGACTGAGGACTGAGCTCCTCTGTGCCTTGCAGCGCCGCATCGGGGACCTCTCGGGTAACCAAAGGAAAACGTAGGTCCTGCCCCTCAGGAAAACTGGACGGAGAGACAGTAACACATGAAAGCAGCCAAGAAGAACAGAGCAGCCACAGGCGAGCCAGAGTAATCACGCGGGACTCACCCCGGGCCAGGGTGCGTGCGTGCGTGCGTGCGCGCGTGCGTGCGCGCATGCGTGCGCGTGCGCGTACCCACTCCCAGGCCTGCTCACGGCCCTGCCCAGGGAGGCAGCTGCAGCGAGCAAGAGCCCACGTCCGCTCTAGGCTTAGCAAGGAGGCAAAGAAGGCTGAGGTTCCAACTGCCCCTAAGACTCACCTAGACCTGTGTGGCAGCTCCTTCCCAGGGAGACCCATGGCGAAGTGAGCCCCTCGGGTAACCTGTGCTCCCGACCCCGCTCCTGCGCTGGCTCGAAGTCCTTCCCGTTTCCCCTCATCCCACCGCCATTTACATGCAGGCAGTGGGAACCTCACATCAGCTCCTAAACCTGGCCCTGAGCTGAATCCTCTACGAAACGTCAGAAAAAGGTACGGAAACCCGGGCTCCACCCTACTGTCCCAGACAGCGCGGCACCAAAACCACTGCTAAAATGGAAGGTTAGGGGCGCCTGGGTGGCTCAGTCCATTGAGCGTCTGCCTTCGGCTCACGTCATGATCCCAGCGTCCTGGGATCGAGTCCCGCATCGGGCTCCTTGCTCAGCGGGGAGCCTGCTTCTCCCTCTGCTTCTGCTGCTCCCCCTGCTTGTACTTGCTCTCTCTCTGTCAAATAAAGAAATAAAATCTTAAAAAAAATAAAAATAAAATGGAAGGTTGTAGACTGTAAGTCAAGAAGCCTGGGTCCCAGTCTCTCTGCATTCTGCCATAAAACTGTGTGACAGTAGGAGCCTTCTCACCAGCCTGGCTCAGGGTGGTAAGTGCTCCATAAATGACAAAAAGCTGATGCCCCTGGGCGCCTGGGTGGCTCAGTTGGTTGGGCGACTGCCTTCGGCTCAGGTCATGATCCTGGAGTCCCTGGATCGAGTCCCACATCGGGCTCCCTGCTCGGCAGGGAGTCTGCTTCTCCCTCTGACCCTCCTCTCTCTCATGCTCTCTGTCTCTCATTCTCTCTCTCTCAAATAAATAAATAAATAAAATCTTTAAAAAAAAAAAAAAAAGCTGATGCCCCAAATGCCTGCCCCTGTCTGACCCTCAGTCTCCACACCTGTGAGCGAGGGGCTGATGCTAATGGGGCTTTCTTCCTCCCTTTTGTAGTGTGGCACTTCACAGAGCTGTCCGGAGATGTTTGCCTGGGAGACCAATGAATGACGAGACTGCTGGTGGCCTGGGAATCCTCCTTCTCAATACCAAAAGCTGTTCCCAGAGCCAGCTTGGCTGGAGGAGGAAGGAGACACTGAGTCCCATGGTAACAGAGAAAAGCAAATGCCCAGCACAAGAGAAATGCAAGCTGGATTCTGGGAAATGATCCCAGGCCTGTCTGCATCAGCCAAGGTGGGCCTCCAATCCCAGGGGAGCCACATCCAAATCCTTTCTTCTCCCTCACTCTCCCTGTCAGGGGAAAGACAGCAGGGTGTAAAGAAAAGGGTTGGGACCTGAGTCGCAGAGGTGGAGTCTGTAGTCCATGAAGTGAGGAGCGAATTCCACTGTGCTCTGTAAATGGGGGGGGGGGGGGGGTCCCTCTCGTTTAACTTCCCCAAACTGCCTTTCATTTTTTACCTCTTGGGCACCAACAGCCCAGAGAAGATGAAGAAAAAACATTCAAGGAAGAATGGTCTTGGGGCACCTGGCTGGATTTATCAGTGGAGCATGCAATTCTTGGTCTCGGGGTTGTGAGTTTGAGCCCCATGTTGGGTGTAGAGATCACTTAAAAATAAAATCTTAAAAAGAAAAGTCTCTCTTGGAATCTTTTCTGGCAGTGTTTCTTAGGGAAAAATGAGAGTAGTCTGCTTCATGGGTCTCCAGACACAAAACCCTGCTGCCCATTGCTGGCTGTCCTAGTTCTGACTCCCCCAGGCCCACCCTACAAACCTAAGTCCCATCCCCTGCACCCAGACCTGTCCAGTGGCCTCTTGACTCCACCCTCCAGCCCCTGCCTGGCTTCTCCCAAAATGGCCAGGGTCAGGGCTTCAAGTGGACTTCTGATCATGTCACTCCCCTGCTTAAAACCCTCACTGCCTCCTTCCCTCTCCTCCTATCCTCCTAGCCTCTCACAGAAGCCTCTGGGCCCCATGTAACCTACCCACCTTTGACCCCTCTGCTCCCCCACCCCCCAGTCAAGGAACTTGGTCCAACCTTGCACACTTGCTTTCTGTCCCTGAATATTCAGGGTCTTTCCCACCTCAGAGCCTCCATGTACTACGCTGCTCCCCCTGCCACCACGCTCACTTCCTAGCTAACTCCCCTAGGTTTATTCTGCATTCATTCCTTCAGCCAATCAGGCACCAGGCCCTGCTCAAAACAAGAGTGCCTGCCCCCTCCAAGCAAAGCCTACACTCTACTGTGGGAGGTAGGGGGGTGGGGCAAGGGCGGAAACAATAAACTCACAATATGTACAGTGATGTTAGGTGGGGAGCATATCAAGAGCAATGGGGGTCAATGTCTTTAAGATTTTATTTCTTAGAGCATGTGCACGAGTGGGGGGAAGGGGCAGTGGGAGAGGCAGAGAATCTCAAGCAGACTCCACACTGAGCACAGAGCCCAACGCAGGGCTCCATCTCATGACCCAGAGATCATGACCTGAACTGAAACCAAGAGTCAGACGCTTAACCGACTGAGCCACCCAGGTGCCCCGGGGGTCATCATCTTAAATCAGGACCAGGGAGGTCTAAGTGAGGGCTGGAAAGCAGCAAGAAGGCACATCACAGCTCCACTCAGAGCAGCCTTGTCCATCCCCCAACTCAAATCAGGTCCCTGACCTCTCTCTGCGCCATTCTTTTCCTTCCCTGTACCCATCATGTTTGTGTGACTGTTTTCAACGTGTTAAATAAAATAAGCCCCACGAGGCCACGAGCTGTGTCATTTACAACCCTTTGTCTGTGGCATCTAGCTTAGTGCCCAGTGTCTATCCATCATGTACCAGATGAGTGATACTGGTCACGTTACTTAACCTTTTGTTGACTTGGTTTCTTCATCTGTGAAGCTAATGGCACGTACTCTGAGTCGCTGTGAAGAGTAGAAGAGTTCATACATAGAAAGTGTTTCATTCTAAGTGCCTAGCACACATTTATGCCAAGCACTCACCAATGCTCCCTCTTAGTTATGAGAAGGTGTTTGAAAGCTCTTTATAGAATGAACAACTGAATGAGTCCATGACTAGGGAAGGGGAGAGAAAATACTTGGGGTCACATTCTCCTGTCAGTGGCAAGGGGGAGGCTGGAACCAACCTCCCAGCTTGCTCTCTTTTCCATGAGAACATGCTGCCTGAGGATAGTATATCCCTCCTGGGGGAAAAAAAGGGAAACAAACGAAACACCCCATGGGTTAAGCAGAATAAGAAACTGATACTTGAATGGACACTCTTTCTTTCCTCCCTTGGGAGAGCTCAGGACTTAACTTGGAAGCAAGTTCTGTTGCTTTGCATCTCCCAATCAACAGCCCCAACCTGCCTGTGCTGGGGGGGCCAGGACCTGGCTCCCTCATTAGCTTGCAGCTTCCCTTCCTCCTCCTCCTGCAGCCTCCCAGGATTTCACACTGGGCATGCATGACCTGCCAGACGCTTCTCCTTCCAACTGCTTTCCAAAGAGCATGTATCCATTTTGCTCCAATGATCAATATAATCATTCATGAAAACGAGTCATTCCCTGCCTTGGGACCCAATTATTTTCTCATGTAACCAGTGGTTGCAAAAATATATTGTTTTCCAGTTAACTAGTAAATGCTATTTTTATCTATGGTTTCCCCACTCCTAATCTTTCATTATTGGGGAGAGGCTGCCGTTTAAACCTCAGTCCAAGTTCTCATCTGCTAGGCCTATTAAGTTAGTACCTCCTTTAAACCGCCAATTACCTGGAGGGAGCCCCAAGAGAAGGTGCTGGTGGTAAGTCCCTGTCTCCCTTCTCCCCTGCCAATACCAAGGGAAGGGGAGAGAACAGGTCACTCTTCTTGAGCACTCTCCAAGCATAACCCATCAGTGCAGGGAGCTTTTATGGGTGGCCAGGGAGGCTGTTTGCACTGGAATACTATACTGGTGCTTAGGCAGAGGAAGGATCACAGGGAATGCCAAGTCTCAGGGGCTTCAGAGTCACAGGGACCTCAGATGGGATCTCAGCTCTGTCCCTTAATTAGCTCTGTGGCCTTGGGCAACTTCAGCATTGTGGGCTTAGTTCCTTGCGTATAAAATGTGATTAATAATGACGACTCCTGGGTTTTGTCAGGATTGAAGGAGGTGACACGTTATGGCCACCTCCTCTTCCCCAACTCAGTGTGTGACATGTCACAGTCATTGCAATCTACTCCACTTCCCCAAAGGGCATCCTCCACCCTCTCAATTGCTCAGGCCAAAATCTTTGGTGTCCTCCCGGCTCCTCGCTCACAATCTTCATCCTACCCGCTAGCGCCCCCTGCTGGCTGTGCTCCCTGCTACCTTCACAACCTAGGGAGACACCGCTAGGTCCTTCTACCACCATCTTGCTCCTGGATTACTGCAGTCGCCTCTGAGCGATTTTCTTGTTGCCTTTTGCTCCCCAACTGTCTGCTCATGATATACCAGCTAGTATGAGCCCTTAAAAATGCAAGTCCAATCATTTCACCCCTTTGCTCAAAATCCTCCGACGGTTCCTCTCTCATGTAGAGCACGAGCCAAGTCCTTACAGGGTCCTACAGGGGCTTCACGATGGACGCAGGCATCTCTGTTCCCAGCATCTCCTATCACCTCCCCCTTGATCTCAGCCCTCCAGACACACGGTCGCCTTGCTGCTCCTTGACTATGTCGAGCATACTCCCACCTTGGGTCTGTGGATATACTGTTCTTCCACATGGAAAGCTCTCCCCCCAGAGGGCTGCATGGCTTACACCCTCCTCTGCCTGACCATCACCCTTTTGGAGACTGTCCTGAATATATAAAACCCTCATTTCACTCTCTAGTCTCCTCACTGTTCCACTTTTCTTCATAGCACTTACTAACTTATCACTACCAACATATTACATATCCACATGTTCATCTATTGTAATCTGCCTCTCCCCAGAATCTGGGCACTACTGTATCCAAGGTGCTGAAAACAGGGCCTGACAAGTAGAAGGCCCTCAAAAACATCTATTGAATGAATACATAAAGCATGCAGACAAATGTCCAGCTCATAGGTAAGGAGGAACTTAACACTGACTATTTTATTTTTTATTATTTTTAAAGATTTTGAGAGAGAGAGAGAGAACATGCAAATGAGCTGGGGGAGGGAAAAGCAGACTCCCCGCTGAGCACAGAGCCTGATTCAGGGCTTAACAGCAGGAAGCTCAACACAGGGATGCCAGGACCCTGAGATCATGACCTGAGCTGAAGTCAGACACTTAACCGACTAGAACCAACCAAGGGCCCCTCAAAATTAACTCTTAAAATAACAGCATATCTGTTTCAGAAAACCTACTATAGAACAACAAAACCTTTTCCACATCACTTCCTATCCCTACATTTCTGGGCTGACAATATCTTGGACTCACAGATGAGGAAACGGAGACAGAGAGTGCCTAGGAAGGCAAGGTTTCCAACAGGCAGGATATAAGAAGAGCCGCCCCACCTGGGTGGCTCAGTCGGTTAAGTGGCCAGCTGACTCTTGGTTTCAGCTGGGGCCATGGTCTCAGGGTCGTGGGATGGAGCCCTGTGTGTGTGTGTGTGGGAGGGGGGTGCTCGCAGCTCAGTGCTGAGTCTACAGAGTCTGCTTGAGGCTCTTTCCCTCTTCCTTTCCCTTCCCCACTGCACCCCCACTTGCACTTGCACACTCTCTAAAATAAATAAATAAAATCTTTAAAAAAAAAAAAAAAAGGGTGTGGGCGCCTGGGTGGCTCAGTCGGTTAAGTGTCTGCCTTCGGCTCGGGTCGTGATCCCAGGGTCCTGGGATCGAGTCCTGCATCGGGCTTCCTGCTCCATGGGGAGCCTGCTTCTCCCTCCACCTCTGCTTTTCTCTCCCTCTCTCTCTCATGAATAAATAAATAAAATCTAAAAAAAAAAAAAAAAAAAAGAGTAGCCGCTCACCATTTGAACACTATGTGCCAGCGACATCCCTCATTCCGTTTGATCAGCAAAACCACACAGTGAAGTCAGTTCTTTGGTTTATGCCCATTCTAAAGGTGAGGAAATGAAAGCTAAAAGAAGTTAGATATTTGTGCATGGTAGTTCCAGGACACCTGGGGCATACTTGAAGATATTCCAAGGGGCACAAAGGCACAGTATAGTAGGAGTACATTTCCCACTCAATGCCCACTGCCTCTACCAATGGGAACAGACCAGCTTTGGAACATGCCTGCATCCTCTCCTTTCCCAGGTCTCTGTTTACCCTGCCCCATCTCCCAGGTTTCAAAGAAAGGCACAACTATCCACCCATGTCAAAATCTTACTAAGGTGCACTGTCCCTAGTGCAAAATTCCCCTGGCACCACCAAGGGGCACTTGGAAACATCAGTATTCATGCCGAGGATGTGCCTGCCTACAGTGACTGCGTAACAAATGCTCCTGCTGAGTCAGGTGGTTTCCAAATCTTTGCCTTCAATAAAGTTCAAGGAGGACCTAAAAGAACTGTCTGCTGGCAGGTCATTATTAATTGATTTCAATGACAGATCACTGTGATTTTTTTTTGGCCATAACTCGGAGGGTGTTCAAAGAACTGAGTAATATTACCACAACAAAATGTCTTCAAGCTCTACGTATTTATTTACACGAACCAACTTTTTCAGTGCTTATGG